CCCCGCGGCGCGCGAGCGGCTGCGCTACGCCGAGTACTCGCCGCCCTCGGCCGGGCGGCCGGACGCGGACCGGGACCAGCGCCTGGTGAGTCCGGGCCGGGGCACGTCTGTCCCGCAGGGACGCGGGACGGAAAACGGGCCGTGGAAGGCACAGAGCGTCCTCGCCCGCGCTGCAGGGCGGTCCCCAGGCCGGACGCGGGGCCGGCGTCGGGCGCAGCGAGGCCTCTGCGGGGACACGGCGGTCAGAAGCCGCCCGAGGGACCGGCAGCGGTGACGTCGGCCCCGGGGAGAGGAGAAGCGTCCAGGCCTGGGAGGCGGCGCCGTCCGGGGAGCTCTGCGGGGAGGCGGCGCCCAGGACAAACCATGCGAGGCACAGGCTGTGTTTGCAGTTCTTCTGTGGCCGTGTTTAAAAAGTCAAAGGAAATGGGGGGGTTTAATTTTAACAGTGGATTTTATCCAATCCAGTATGTATCTCCATAATGATAATTCAACGTGTAGTCAGTCAACACAAGCCTTGGAAATCCAGCGTGATTTACACTAACTGACACCTCGATTCGGAGTAGCCGCGTGTCAGGTGCTCAGTAGCCCCATGTGGCTAGTGGCCAACTTATGGATCAGTGCAGTTCGCAGAGATAAATGGGGGCTAGAACATATGAAGCATCTGATAAATCACGTGAAAGAGTTGGAATATTTTGAGGGCAGTACCGTTGGTGCCATTTTGATGAGTTTGAAGCAAAGGAGTGATACGTAGGGTCACCGTAAAGTTCTCTCAGGCTGCGTGTAAGAATGGATTAGATGGAGTAAGTCTGGAAGCGTGGATGTTAAACCTTTTTCCACCCCTCATTCCATGCTAAGCCGGCCCACAGCGATACACCTTACCTCCTTACTGTCCAGAAGAGTAAAAATTTTGAGGAATGCAGACAATTCTTTCTTGTACAGGGTCGTCTCATACTTATTAGGACTTCTAGGATCAATAGCCCCCCATCCACCAAATGCCTCCCCTCCTACCCAAATTATTGTGACGACCAAAAGGTCCACAGGTTTTCAAAATGTCCCTAAAGGCCTGTTCACTTCTTTTGGGAATCATTGGTCCAAGTAATGATCAATGACGAGGTGGAACATAAGAGAGTTGATAATAACTTGAGGGAACATGGAAATTCTGAAAGTGATGGGAAGCTGACAGAGGTAAGTGTTAACAATAAATGACATAGGTATCGGACATATTCGGGAATCTTATTGAAAAAAGTAGAAAATAAAACGTTTGTCAAGGAGTTGAAAAACATTTTTTATACCATTTTTTAACAAGATGCAATTTAAAGATTTCGAAATGTGTATCTGCAGTCATAGATGTTAAATAACCCTCAAGAAAACTCTTTAGGAACTAAGAATTAATGTTCATTAGCCTATTTAAGAAATTAAAAAGATCAAAATGTAGGCAAAAATACCTGTGTAGTACCTTGAATAAAATAATATCTTACAATTAATTGTTATCAGAGGTCAGTGTAAAACTTCGCTTTAGCAAAGCTGATTCTCATAGAAAAATAGGAAAGAAACTTTAAGCTTAAGAATAGAATATTGAGTTTTAAAGTAGCTTGAACAGAACTCAGTTTGTATGAGTGGTAGCCTTTAGTTTCCAGTACTTACCTGAATAGTGTAACTCCTAGTGTTGTTAGGATAGTATAACATAAGAAAATTAGCCACACATATGTTTCAGTATAAGCAACCTGATACATGAAAGCTAAAACCTATCAAACACATAAATTATCGAGTATTCATTCATCACTGAAAAAAAGACCACTTCTACTATTTTGCAATTTGAATTTCATTTAAAACATGTTTTAACATACCTGGAAGCTTCCCTTTGAAGAAATCCCATGGATTATGTATTCTATATCCATATTTTTAACTTTGATTTTTTTTCCTTGATGCTCTTTATATTTTAAGAGGAGGGTAAAATATAAGCTCCATGGACAGAAACTTTGTGTGCTGTCTGTGTATTTCCAGCATCAATAATGGTGCCTGATATGTGGTAGCATGCCAGAAAGAAATTGTCGAATGAGTAAATGTTACTCTGGATTGGGAAAGAACGAGAAGAACTATTCTTTCGGTGAATGGAGTTAATAAGAATCTCCGATTGTCTACCAATGAGTCCTGTAAAATTCCAAATACAAAATTTGTCTTATCTAAAAGGTAACTCATTGTATCCTCTTGCTAAGTGTGTTGATTCTCATCTTTCCCTTATCGTGAATAATACTATCATTAGTTCGACTTTCTCCTTGACCTTCAACATTCAGTCCATCCATCTTACCCTGGTCTCTGTAATGTCTTCCCCCCTCCCTTCCTAACAACTGCTGTTCTGCTAGTCTTTTCCATCTCTCTCCCCAGGCCTACTAGAATAGCCTTTAAAAACAAATCTCTTAGCTTCTGGTACTTTACCCTTTTTAAACTCCACCTGCCATCAGTTATTTTTCTGTAATACAGACCTAATGATACTACCAACCATTTTTATAAATTTAACATGGACCAAACTTTCCTCAGGTCAGTATGCAGGACTCTTCATGGGCTGCCCCCAAATGCCTTATCCAGTCCCATTTTCCGCCCTCGGCACTGTCCTGTACCCTGTGCTGTGACTTATAGTTTTCACCTTTGTTTGAAACTCTTTGCCTGGCAAACTCCTATTCATTTTTCAAGGCTCAGCTTACTGATACGAAGCCTTGGCTGACTCCAGTTCCCTTTACCTAGTAGAATTAAATTGTTTCATCCTATGTACTTCCTTAAAAAGTCATAGGATTTTTCGTTACAGTATTTCTTATAATGTATCTAAATTATATTTGTGTAAGTACCCAAGTTGTGAAGTCTTTAAGGCAAGAACTTTTATCTGCTTCTGTGGTTGGCATTTTAATTGATACATGGTAGTCACTTAATTGTTTATTAAATAAACAGCTATTAACTCTTATTACTATTGAGTAACTTAATAAAAAGTGTGGATGTTTGCTTCTAACATATTGACGCATTTATTTTTTCTGTAGGGTTTCTCTTTTATGTTAGCCTCTAAGAGAGAACAGAAGTCTGTCTTGCTCACTACTCCAGATTTTAGCACAAGCCCCAGTGTATGCTCAATAACGTTTGCATATTTATATGGCAAATGTTATAAATAAATGTATATCGAGTGAGTTACATCTTTCCTCTCCATCACAATTACCACTTGCCGTTTTGATGTAGAAGAATAATTCTTTTTCCTCTGGTATTACTCTTGTCTGTCTTGAACTTAAATGTCTCAGTCTCAGGATAGAAGTTTTAGCATTTTATCACGCTTTCAGGCAATTTATATTTATCTGGAAGGTTTTCTACTGCTTCTGCTATTTTGGAAGGATAAAATGCCTTAGGGAATTTGTAAACAATCTTGATGTCTTTTTTTCCTTCCTCTAGCAGTAGCAGCTGTGATGCAAGAGACAGTTTGACCAATTTTCAGAAATTCTTTGATTCATGGTAGTGGGACATTTAAAGCAATTTTTCCTGGTGGATATTTGAAACTAGGTGGCAGTTGACAGATATCTAACTTGGCCCACTTGTTGGCATTTAAATAGCGCTTCTCCTATTTGAAATATGTGTTTTTAACTAAAATCAGATATTCTTTATAGGCAGGGGCCAAGTTCTAAGGATTCTCATTTTCAGCTCCCAACATAGTACCACACACGTGGTTGCTGCTCCATAAATTTGTGTTGAATGATTAAATTAATGAATGAACCATCTAGATGGGAGAAAAACAGAGCGTTAGAGAAATGTGTTCTAGATTAAAGAACTGATGGCCTTAAGAGTAAGATAAATGAGTCTCTCTTTGACTTTTTTAATGGTAAAGAGAAGCCTAAAATATAGCGTTTAAGGTTATGTGTAGTCAGAGTACACATAACATTACACATAATACTCTGAATTCTGATGAGCTTTTCCAAGTTTTGGTTATTTTATTGCTTAATGCCGCTGATAACATAGGCATTCCCTATTCTGTTTTTAAAATTTCTCACTTCAATTCAGTTAAATTGATTTTTTTTTTTTTTTGAACACCAAATACATGGAAGCTGTATACCAGGTGTGTGTGAGGAGGATATGAATCAACCAGGATTGCCACCCTCAAGGACAGAGGTCAGCAAACTTACTTTGTGAAGGGCTAAAAAGTATTTCAGGTTTTGCTGGCCATACAGCCTCTGTCACACTACTGAACTCTGCCAGTGTAGAATACAAGCAGCCATAGACAATACATAAATGTGGCTGTGTTCCAATAAAACTTTATTTGCAAAAACAGTTGGCAGGCCAGATTTGGCCTGTGGGTCACAAGTTTGCCGATCCCTGCTCTGGAAGGCAAATCGGATCAAATTTAAATACACCATTCAAGACCAACTTCATCAGGTGCCGTCATTTATTTGTTCATTCATTCATCACATAGTGTCCCACTTTATTAGGTAAGGTCCTGAGGCTAAGTGCTGTAGTGGACAAACAGATGACTCAAACATGGATTTTGTTTTCAAGAAGCCAGATAGAGAATTAAGTTTTTCTAAAAAGCAGGTTATATCAAGGGATGGGGAGGAGAGATCATTTGGGCTAAGACTGGGTAGCCCTGGGCGGCAGGTTAGGGCGTGGGGGCTACATCTGTCGGTAGCTGAAGTTCTGTAGGGGCGGTGTGATCAGTGGAGGGCTCCAGGAAGAGTAAGCCTCGAGCAGTGTTTAGGAAGTGTAGAGGACAGAGAAGCAGAGAAGGCGAGAGCAGTTACGGATGTGGGCAGTTACCTGGGAATACAGCCCAGAGGAGCAGGTGAGGGCAGCTGTAACAGTGATGTAGCTACTTGTTTTGTGCCACGTGTTAAACTAATGCTTTAAGTGCATGAACTCATTTAGTCTGTAATAACCCCGTGAGGTGTAGATACTATTATAACCCCCACTTCTAGATGAACAAATTGAGGCTTAAAGCAATGAAATAATTTGCCCAGGGTCACACACTTGGTGCATGGGTGAGCCCCAAGGTACTCTGCTTTCTTGTCTCTGTTCTTACGCAGGATATATTCCCTCTTCAGCTCTTCTGTGAGTGTCAAG